CCCGCCCACGGGTGGCAGGCCCAATTATTGGGACAATAGTACTCGTTCGCGCCGTACTTCCAGGAGCGCGAGCCGAGAGAGTGCCGGAGCACTCGGACACTCCCGTAAGAATCGCCGACAAGATAAGTGCCAGACTACAGTGCCAGACTAGAGTCAAGCTCAACAGGGTCTTCTTTCCCCGCTAATTTTTCCAAGCCCGTTCCCTTGGCAGTGGTTTCGCTAGATAGTAGATAGGGACATTGGGAATCTCGGGAGTATCAGCCACAGTCGAGTGCTCGACGAAATAGTTTGAACGGCGTTTGCCTGCTTGCCCGTTTTGTGTTGCTTGCTGCTCGCTTGCTTGCTTGCCCGCTACCTTGTCTGCCTGCACGCCTCCCGCTTGCTATCAAGGAGGATTCGCCACCCGAGAGGACATACGAGATCGGCCGAGAGACCATCCCAGGAGGGCGCCAAGCTGCGATACGGTGAGTCGCTTCGCTTGAATTATCCCGCTTTACTTGCATTTAATTTTGCTTGCATTTGTGAGGGGATTGCCCCTCTGGTCCTTTGAACCACCCTAATACAGGCCAATCGCAAATCTGGGGACCGATTAATACCCCCCCGAGCAGGCCAATAGGCAATCTTATTGGATTTTGGATCCAGAGTCTGTATCGAGCCCATGCAATATAGGGCCTAAGTCAAATTTTTTAAATAAAAACCTTTATTTTTTATTGCACCACCTTTCTCTATTAAATTAATTTGAACAACTTTTGTTTGAAAAATTCTTTTATTTGCCTAATACTTTTTGAGATGTTAAAAAAAAAGGTAATTTTTTCAATATTTAGCTTATGATATATACCTTTTTTTTATGTGGGAGGAAATCTAAATATTTTCCACCCCCTCCGGGCTGAGAGGGCGGGGGTATGCCGGATTCTACGCCCGCGCGTACCGCCGTTACGAAGGTCACTCCGAAGGACCAAAGTCCCTTGAGCCTGCCCTCAGCGCGGCATCGCGCAAGCATAGCCTACCGGCTAAAACCTCCCACAAGTTCCCTCTACAATGTGTCAGGGGAGAAGCCGGGTATCGCGCTAGCATTCTTCCATGTTTTCCCCCCACTTCGCCTTTCTCAGACACCCTCGCGAGTCTAACTTGTGACGGGCTGGGGAAACCCACCAACCCGTCATTCCCCCACTCCGGAGGTGCTGGTCCCTTGGGGAGCGCCGAAGCAACCAGTCAGGACCCCCCGTCTCCTTTCCCACGTACTTTGGAAAGAATAGAAGGGGAGGGGGACCTGCCAAAAATAGCGGCCCTACTCCCCCCACACTCCCCTCTTTCGCCACCAGCCTAAGACCGGCGCGGAGGGCGCTGAAAGAACGGGTCCCACGTTACCGCGAGGCCCGGCCCCCCATCGCCCCACCTCCCCGAGCGCCAGCTTTCATTCACGCCCTGGGGGGAGGAGGAGCCTCCGTTTCCGAAGGTCCCCGTCCCCCCTCCCTTCCGCACATCCTGCCGTCCCCATCCGATGCTCCGCCGGCAACCCCGCTCCCGCGCAAAGCGGGCATCGCGGAGAAGCTCCAGGACAGAGGAGGGCCCGATGACCCCTCTCCCCGCAGCGGTAGCAGTCACCGTTGCGGTCCTCCTCGGAACGACACCCGAGACGGGTGTGTCCCATCCTCCAACACTTGTAGCACCGGAGGGGACGGGACGGCAGCAGCTCCACGTGGGCTCTAATCCAGCCCACGGTTACCTCCTCTCTTATCGCGACCGACGCGACCGCAGCCGGGCACGTTGCCCACAGCGTTTCCATCCTTCCAGGGAACCTGCGGATCGCGCCGGTCTTTACCTCTTCAGATGGGCATTTCCCCAACTTGGATAATGCCCTCCTAACCTCCTCTTCCGTCACGGAATCATCCAGCCCTCCTATGCGAACCACCACGCGTTTGGAGGGTCGGGTGATCCGTACTTCTCCCTCATCGAATATCTCGTGAAGGCGGGCTGCCAACCGATCCGCCTTCGTCTCCGCACCCTCCCCGGGAATCTTCCACAGGAGAGATCCCGTGACTCCACGTCTACATTGGAGTTCTTCCATACCTAGTTTCTTCAAGGGGATCTTCTCCCTGGCCTCATTAATTTGGCGTAGTCGATGTTTGCTCCCGGCATTACCGTAACACCGACCGCTGCCGTCCTCGAAGTATACGGGAATTTTTTTCTTCCTTCCTTTGAGGGTCTGGAGGTCCCTCCTCTCTCAACAGTCTCAACACCGCTGTTACCGCGTTCCCTTTCCATGACCCCCTTCCGCACCGCTTCGGCATAGGACGAAGGACACGTCGTCGGGGGTTTATTTCTTGTCACCTGGGAGGGCGCCGGAGCAGGAGGCCCCACGGTCTGACCAGCCGTCCGGGCCCTGGTCTGCCCCGCCCCCTCCCCCCTGATAACTTCTACCTCCTTGGTTAATCGTGTCACCCTTCTCTCAAGGGACACGATCAACCCTCTTAACTCCTTGTTGTTGAGCCCACCGACCTCTTCATCCGTCTGCACGGAAGTCTCTCGTGGCGGTGGGCTCATCAGTTTCCATCGGAGTCGTTGCCCTCTTCCTCATTTCCTCCTCTTTCTTACGTACTTCTTCCTCCCTCTCCATGAGTCGCCTCTCTACCTCTTTCAATCTTTCTTCTTTTTCCGCAAGTGCTCTCTCCATCTCCTTCATTTTCTTTATTTCGTTTTTTATCTTTTCTATGTTTTTCTCTGTGTTTTCCGTCATTATTTTCCTAACCTCCGCCATTATGGTGGCTTTAGCTTCTGCCACTATAATCGTCTTAAAATTCTCCAGTTCCTTGGAGATTTGCTCCTTTGTCATCATCTCCCCTCTCTTCCTTATTTCGCTGACTGTGTCCATGATTATTTCGACATCCAGCTCAGACTCCTTCCTCTTGTCGTCCCTTGCGCGAGTAATTATCTGCCCAGGAAGTGACTGATCCTTTCTTCTAGCTCTCTAACAGAGAGCTCTTCCAACTCCTTTATCTCCAGGAGCTCCCGGGCCTGGATCTTCCGTCTGATCTGTTGTCTTCTTTCTTCCTCCACTCTTTCCACGTCGTCCACCTCCGTTTCCATTACGTTCTCTTCGCGTTCTTGTACTATCACCTCTGTCTTTTCTTTTCCTTTTTCTTATTTCCTCTTCTCCAGAGCCCTTTTCTTCTCTTTCTGTCCTCCTGAGGGAACAAGTAAAAGGCTTTCTATTGTTGGATCCTCCTGTTGTGGACCACCACTGGTCCCCGGTTGATCCGAGGCAGGGAGCCGACTCTGCTCTTCTCGCCTCTTGTATTCCTCTTCCATCATCCCTAATATCTCGTTCCTTCCCTGGATCCACTGGTCTTCCCTATCATCTTCTTCATCCTCCGGGTACGAGTCCGCACATACTTCCCACATACTTCTCTTTAGTTCTTTCTGGTACTCCTCCTTTTTCATGCCTTTTGCCCATCCCGGCATTTTTCCCGGTTTCACGTCCAACCTGACTAGCATCCTCGCCAGCAAGTCGGGGGGAATTCCGGATGCCTTCAACTTCTTGAGTCCTTCCGTCTTCTTATTCCTTTTCCCTGTTAAAGAGGCGATAGCATTAACAGCTTCCGAGCTCGTTTTCAACTCGGAAATCCGCGTATTTGGCCCGTCGTATGTTGACGATATATTGACGTATGTTGGCTCTTACGTCCGGCGGCAGGGACACCACCAGCCCTAACCCGGAAACGTCCGGGCGGCCCGGTGGGTCCTCCCTCCCACCCGGTAACGGGCCCAAATTCCCCGACCTGCCGGAGCACCGGCGTGCATTGGTCGGGCGATTCGGCCCTCCCCGTGGTTTTTTATCGAGGTTTTCCTTTCTTTAGGCCGGCGGGAGAAGTAAAAACTCCTCCCTATCAGTCCCGGCCGACCGGGCGTTTGAACTCAGGGTCGCCTTCCCCTACCGGCTGTTGGAATCTGGGTCGCCGAAGCTAGCCAGACTCCTAAGCAGAGCAGCCGGACCCCCGGTTTTTATTCTGGGTTTTCTTTCCCATAGGACGGACGGGTAACGGAGTTAGCCAAGGCTAGCTCGTCCCTCACGGTTCCGTCCAACCGGGCGGACTTTTTATAGAGGCCGCCTACCTCGCGAGTCTCCGAAGAGACTCCCCGGTTCACGACAGACCTTGCGGACTGCCGTGGATTACGGTACTGGTGTGCTCGGGCACTCCGGGTTGGCAAAACCCGTAGTGGAGGGCTCCTCTGGGCCCCTAGAGGCTCCGGAAGGACTCCCCCAACCCCTGGAGGATAGCTTATGATACCTTGATAATTGTTTGCCAGAGGAAAAAGTGGTGTTTCAATCTCGAAGGACCAGAAACTCATCTGGGTCAGCATCCAGACTTGTTTCAATGCGGTGCGGAGTAGGGAGGTTCGCGCTCCGTTTTGGTGCGCGGTAGAATCGTAGGATCGCAGAAAGGGCAATTTCAGTTAGTTTGAATCGTGTTGTTTGTACTGTGAGAGAAAGTCTTTATTTGCTGAAATGTCACAAACATGTGTTCACGTGAGCACCACAATGCTGGCACTTGTTATTCGAATGGCCGTGTTGAACGGTGACACGGCGGCCTTACACCAAAATGGCCGATAACGGCGCACGGTTACAGAAATGACCGCGGTAGTCTTCGTACACGAACGAGGCGGCAGATTACACGAATATGGCCGATAACGGCGCACGGCGCACGAAGCGCTTACAGAAATGATCGCGGAATATCTTGCACGCGGTAGAACGGCTGAGCGGGGCGCCTTGCACGCACAACGTGCTATCTGAGTTTCTCTCGCGAGGGAGGACGGCCGATCGCGGCGCAGGTCACTCGCAACCCGCTAGATTGCACTTAAACTTTCGCGAAGGGTGACGGCCGAGCGCGGCGCAGATCACTCGCATTCGGCGAGATTGTACTTGAGCCTTGAACTCTCGCGAGGGGTGACAGCTGAGCGCAGCGCAGATCACTCGCAACCCGCGAAGTTGTATTTGTCTCTCGCGAGGGATGACGGCCGAGCGCGGCGCAGATCATTCGCAACTCGCAAGACTGAATACGGCCGAACACGGCACTTAACGTTCAAACGGAGGGCACTTAGAATGCGTCTCAAAACGTACTGTCCGGTGCGGGACGACGGAGAGGCGGAGTCGACGCGGTGAACCACGATATCGTGCGACGAGCGGGTGTCCTTTACGACACGCGGGATAGCAGGCTGACGGCGGACATCATGTAGCGACGCGAGCGGAGAATCTTGTCGCGGTACGAGCGCGGATCTCGTGTCGACGCGAGCGGAAATCTTGTCGCGGCACGAGCTGAGATCCTGTCGGCGCGAGCGGAGATCTTGTCGCGTGGCCCGCCACCCGGTTCGACGTTTTCGGTTTTGCAGATGTAGACACGTGTGGTTCACTGGCCGGCACAGACGTACTCTATTGCGCGCCGCTACGCGAGGATGAAGAACCATGCCAATCGATTTTGATAGATATGCGGTCGATGTGCTAACGCTCGCGCAATTTGATTGGTCGCGAAGCGCTCCTGGAATCGCGCATGCGGCCGATAAAAACGGGATCGCGGTAGCGCTTCCTCATCCGTCGCGAAGGACTCGCCGTGCGCGCGAACTTGCCCAATCCGGAACAAATGGTATAGAGGATTTTTTGACTTGACTTTGTCTTAAGAATATGCTGTTGCAATAGCACTCCAATTTTTTTAAATATTTGTAAACACTCCAAGAAGATACATACACAAATATTTAACAAAAATTGGAGTATACTATTGTAACAGCACATTTTTAAAATAAAATTAAGTTAAAAAATCTTTTGTACCACTTTTTTCTCTAACAAACAATCATCAAGATGTCACAAGTTAAATATTGAAAAAGTTACCAAGTTTTCCTTGAATATCTCAAAAAGTATTAACCTTCCGAGAACACATCGGGTCAATTTGACCCGAACCTCGAGTTTTATCGTAAATATCTTGAAAGCATTTTGAAAATTGGCGGACTTGAGACCCTCTAACTGTAGTTTGGGGTACTAACTATACGTTAGGATGCTTTCATTGTACAGCGCAATACGCAGTAGGCGTTGGACATTATATAAAGTCGGTGTAGGGTCATTCTGACCCTGGAGGTGTACTAAACGTCGGTTTGCAATAGTGAGCACGATGGCGTATAGTTTGCGGCCACGTGTTCAGAATGTTATAGTAAGTGCCGAGCCAGAACATTTCGATGGCAACAGTTCTTCTGAGGAGGAGTTTGTTCAAATCCGTAGTCCGAACGGCACGCCTGCGAGCGCGGCAGCCCGTTCTGCGCTCTCTCGCCTGCTAAGTGGGGCAAGCGCGACAACACCCCGCACCGCGAGCGCGAGTAACTTATGTAGCCGCGGGGCAGCTGTCTCTCGCGAGTTCAAAATATCAACACAAAGGGAATATAAGGTGTAACGTGACATTGTCGCGTCCACCGCCCAAACGGTAGCTCGGCCGAGGGGAAGGTCGGGGTCGGGGATGGCGCCTCGACTTAAATAGGGGAGGGCTAATTGCACTAATTGTAAGTTAGATTCCGTAGGTGCGACAGGTGGTGCTGGAGCGTAGGATTGACAACGGAAATGTAACGACGTGTGTCGCAACGAGGGAAAGAAGGACACTGAGGGGACGCTGAAGTGAGCGGTTGACCGGCGGGCGGGTCACGCGGGCCCCCGCCGCCAAGGCGCATAGCAGGTCTCGCCCAACACATCCCTGGCCCCGTCGCAGCATAAGGAAGGGGTACGTCACCGCCACCGCCGAGCGAGTGGACGCCCCGGGCGCCTTACCCCGGCGGTACTTGGGGGCACCGAGCAGGATAGCTTTGGATGCTCCATTACTCGCTCATCTACGATATTATTGTCTGGAGCATAAATGCTACGTGATTTTGAGTGGACTAGGCGGTTTCGGTTTAGAGCTAGCGGATTGGTTGCGGAATTGGAAAATCGTTTTCGACTAAATGAAAATTCACTGGACATCCTAAGATATCTACCTGTGCTAGCCCTAAGGTGGTCACATGGTGCGTCGTAATTCCACTAAGTCTTAGAATTTCATTTTTATCCACTATGGTATCGGAAGTAACGGAATTCTTTTTAATAATATTCGGTCCTGATCTACTAGAAATTTTAAATCTTCTGTGAAATTTGGGCCTGTTAATTTTACTGACGGAACGTCTTCTATTTGAGTTATGTTTACTGCTCGGTAACCGATTCTGGTTTTTCTGCTATTATTCGAGTGGGGCGAGTCTGCGTGTTTCCCGGGGCTGCCCCTGTCCTCGCGGGAATTCGCTCGTTTCCCTGAGGTTGTAGGTTCTGAAGGAGACCGTTATTATATGCGCGTTTATGACACTTTTCTAATGCATAACCGGGTTTCTTGCAATATCTACACGTTGACTGTTCAAATTTTGTTTGTTAAAATTTTGGTTGTTAGAATTTTGATTGTTAAAATTTTGGTTGTTGAAATTTTGATTATTCGAATTTTGAGCATCACCCGAGAACGATGGCTGTTTACGGTTATTATTATTATAGTTATTGTTGTTGTTAACATTATTTCGCGAATAACCGGATCCATTTCGATTTTCGTTATTTCCTCGGGGTTTATTGACCTGCCAGCATTTATCTGCTGTGTGCCCTTTTTAATGACAGTACTGACAAACGACGGTCTCGGTTTCTATACGGCGCGTCGGGGCCTTCTTTTCGGCGGGCACGTTTTTCACGAGCATAATGCGTCTTATCATGTTTATTGTATCTAATTCCTTTTCGGCTTCTATCGCGCTGCTCTCGATTTCCTCGAACGTACCTTTTTTTGATATTACAATTTCTTTATTTAATCCGCGTAAGAAACTAATTTTAAATGCTTCTCGATTAAATTTCGGAATTCGGCACTTACTAATCCTGTTTCTCTTTTCTGAGCATCGAGTATACGCTTCCCTAATTCTCGGACGCCATTTGCATATGTAACTACTTTTTCGTCTTTCTTTTGGCATAAGTAAGCTAATCGTCCTTGGGCTTCATAAACTGTTTCTCTAGGACCGTATTTTGTCCTTAAAAATTCTACCAATTCTTGCATGCTGTTAAATGTTAAATGTTTTCCCGAGAATAGTTCTATGCGCGTCACTCTTTAATTTATTACGTACTGCGCGAACCAGGTTTATTTCTTGTGACGGTACGACCACGGTCTTACATACAGGTCTGGAAACTCGCTCGATTTTTAGTGGTGGGGGTAGGTCGCTTATTGAGGCAACTTTTAATTCGCTTTACCGCCACGAGGGTCGTTACGAACGAGTAATGCCGACAAACATAACTAACAAATCAAGCTTTATTATGTGATTGCCACGGTCACAGTCAGACTGTAGTAATTGTCGTAGCTACGTAAAGTGCATTGTCTCCATTCCCGAGAATTTCATCGGCAAGACGTAAGTTGTGCCCGAGGAACGGCATAAAGCTCGCGTCCGCCAGACAGTGACGTCGACGTAAAGTTTTGCATAGTGAGCGGCGATCGTGAAAAGTTCATTAAAGCGGTGGAGCGCACGGTCGGTGATTTTTGCTTCCTCCTGATTCGGACTCGAACCAGCAACGTCAACGTGCTAAATGGCGAACGCAAAGACCGATATGTGCTCGAAGTGCGTGCCACCTCGAGCAAACGCGACGGTAGAAACAGAGTGATTGCGCTCGAGGCGGACGCCGCGGTAGTGGTGACGATTCTCGACACGAACGATCTTAATCCGCTGTTCTATCCGATCGAATGCGAGACCACCGTGACAAAAGACACGCCTTTGCATCGCAGCATACTCAGGGTAATCGCCGAGGACGCCGATCTCGGCAGAAACGGCAAGATTTACTATAGCTTTGCCGAGGAGACCGATCAATTATTTGGCGATGACAAAACCGTGTACTGTGCCGACATGCAAAACGGGCAATAGAAGCGACAAATCTAATCGATCTGTGTTTCGCGTGCCAAAAGATGTCGAGCGATTAAGACAATGGGTAGCAGCTATTCCCGGGATCGTCAAACTAAAGCCAACGCACGTTATATGTGACAAGCATTTCAAAGATCAGCATATTATTCGTGAATGGATCAAACAAGATGGGAGCGGTCGCATCATTGCACAGGTTCGTTAATAATATAAATTTTATGACTGTTACGGAATGCGCTAACATGAATTTTTCACACCAACATTCGACATTAGTACACGTGAGCTGAGAGGTGGTGTACACGTGATCCTAATATTCTGGCAGCGCTCTGTGACATTCTTAGACCCGGGTTATTCGTCGTAAATACTGCGGAAGGCCTTTCGATTCTCGACATACCGGAATTATCACGCATGTTTCGCGTGCGTGCCACGGTTCGCGAATCGATTGATCGCTAAATTCCCAATGCTCCGAAAAGCTATCGATCTCGCGCGTAACAGTCAGTCTGACAACGGAGCGCTCCGACGCCAGTCGTACGTTCAGTTCAATTGTAAAGTTACTGAGTAAACATAAATTCGGAAACAATGACTAATATGTGAAAGCGCAAATAATATCACATTTTCTTTCATATTACAGGCCCCATATAAGTATTAGTAGCAGCTTAGTAAGCTTGCTGTATCAACAAAATTGTTGAACGATGCCACAAACAATGAAGCCATTAACTCATTCGCCGAATCGTCTTCACATTTAGTGAGCTCTGTTATCAACTCTGTAGACACCCCTCACGTACAAGGTATGTGTTACATGGCTAAAACAAATATAATGAGTATATATAGTCATTTAATTATATATTTTATATTTCGTTTTTGTATACAGATGTCTCATGCATTCAATTGCCTATTTCGGAAGATGGACATTCGCTTACAGCAATGGAAGAAGCTGATACAATAATGAAGACTCCAACGTCAGATCCGCACACTAAAATTGACAAACCAATAAAGCATTTTTTATATAAAAGTACTTTTTTACTGCCTTCAAATAATAAAATAAGTATATTTTCTTTTATGCAGTTTCCACAGTATTTGAAAAACAGGAAATAAATTTTATTAAAGAATCAATTGCCGTTACTTATTACCCTCACTTGCAAACAAGACTATCATTTTGCAAATTTCATATTTTACATTTAAAATACATTAATATATTATTATATTATAAATTATTAATATATTAATATATTATAATAGATATTAATACATTATAGATTATTAATACATTAATTATTTTACATTTTACATTTCCTACATTTGAAGTTTATATTATAAAAATAGTAGTCAAGAGATACAATAGTGTCTCACACCAAGTGGCATTACTAGAGTTCCTCTAGTAAGAGTTAGGACACCGTCCGCCATTAATGGGGAATTATGCGAACGATCGAGAGAGACAGCCTCCCAACTCGTACTTTTCATGGGTCTTTGTCTCACTCCCACTTATAGCTTTGTCTCACTCCCACTAACGTCTTCCCCATTAATGGCAGAACCAATCAGGAGTCAGACCGGGGTGTCCTAACTCTTACTAGAGGAACTCTAGGCATTACCTTCCCGCAGTGCCTCTCGTGGCGGCAAAGCAAATTACAAGTTGCTTCAATAAGTGACCTACCCCCTCCAGTGGAGTTTCCAGACCTGTATGTAAGACCGTGGGTACGACCATGCTGAGTGCTTCTTCGCAACCCTCGACAAAATATACGAACGGAATATATATTTCCTCTATCATAATTCGGCACTGCTTCTAAGGCATCTCTAATTGAAAAATTTAAATAGTTACCTATTGTCCCTTCATTAATTACCATTCCTGGATTTTGTGGTCAATTAGATGTGATCGATTGATTTACTGACTCCTGTAGCTGTTGAACCACTTGTTTGTTATGAGATATGGACTTCCGCAGCTCCATTAAGTTCCGCATTTGCGCCTTCATTCCCTCCCTTCGCTTGATCTTTCAGTGGCGTGCATGACATCATGATTTTCGTTTTTCACTTTTATTACTTTTTTACACAATTTTTATTATCCCACCGCTGTCACCAAATTTATGTCACATTCTGTCTGTTGTTCGTCCGTTTTTTGGTCAATGCATTTAAGCAATTTACCAGGGATTTGGACAAGTCGTGCAAAGGATATTATTATTATTATTGTTATTTGGGACCGAAAAGATATCTGAGTTTATAAATTTTATAACAAAGATCTTTTGTTTATCTGATTAAAATGAGGATAATCGATGTCGAAATCGACAGGAGTAGGTTTAAATGGAGGTGCATTTTCTAGTTGCAATTGGTGGAGGAGAGAGAGATTAGAATTGATTAGAAATGGCTGCTTGTTTAATCTGGAACCTAATTCTTTTAATTCAAGTTCGTCTGCCTCCCTTTTTCGTCTAACCCGGATCCTCGAAAATGAATTTTGTAGCTCGCCACACTCTTCGTCAGCGCTCAAAAGCCAATCCGCTACACTCTGCTCGCCACACTCTTCGTCAGCGCTCAGATCGGCAGCGTAAAGGCCTAATTCACTTTCGGGAATTAATAGCGATTCTAAAGATCAACCCAGTAATTGCCACGCTTTTGGCAGCAAAGGTACCTGCTCGCCACTCTTCGTCAGTGCTCAGGACTGATCGCCACGCACTATGTCAGCGATAACTGCGAGTCGAATCTTAGAAGTGATCACCTTCGGCTCGTGCGTCCACTCCGCACTCGTGTCCAATTCTCAACTTCCCGCACTTGTTACACAAATAACTATTTCTATATAGGCACACAGTTATATTGTCTCATATATTATACATTTTTATATATATCTGGTTTTATGTTATAATGAGTAGGCAATTAAATATATATGATTCAATTTGCGTCTATGTCTCTTTATTAACTGACATAGTTATATACTTTTAAATCTTTTTTTTTTCTGAAATTCAATCAATTGAATAGCAAAAACTACGTTATTTTTGGTACGTAGTGTGCAAATGTATTTTAAAATGAAGATTATATATTTTCTACTGAATTATTTACACACACGTGCGGTTTCAGAGAATCATTTTTCGCCAACTCAAATATGTTCTTATATACTCAACTGTCAAAATATGAAAGATAATTTTATCTAGTTGTGACATTCGCTCGAATTCCCGAAATAATTTTCAAGGATGTGAGTACGAATATATATATATATATATATATATATATATATATATATAT